CTTCCAGCGTGCATAAATATACATCTATTTGGACAATGTATTTTGTTATAAAACAGAACCAAAATCTAACGCCTTAATAACGAAAGGAACAGTAAAAAATTTATTTGAATAAATATATGTTAACAGACTGATCCTACTGATGTAATGGTAATTTAACCACCTAACTGTTTTAACTAAAGCTAACGAACATAATCACTTAATTAAGTTAATAAAATTCCTAAAGAATTATTTAATTTGACAACTGAATAAAAAAGTTATTGGCAAACAATATTCATGAACTGCCAGTAACATGAAACTTGTACTTTATTCAGAAATAGTACATTTGTACATGTGGTACATACACTGGTGTGAATCACTTCAGAATTGCAAACACAACTCTTTAAAGATATGCCACAATTAATTATTCCAAGTTATACAAGCATCTACAGATGATGAACATGCATATTTTTTTTTCGTTGAAACAGGAACATCCGGTTTTTAATATGAACAGAATAACATGTTATGAGGAAGAGATTCTCATACAAAAAAAAATAGGTAATATATCATTCAAGCTGATGAAGTCTGCCATGTGTGTTTCTGATTCAGCTTCTGACTGACTGACTGGCTGCCAGCACCCGACTGCTGAATGACTAACATTGTGGTCTCCAGCCTCTGAAGCTGGTGTATTAAGTATGGTGTAATGAACATAAGTAGGGCAGTAGGGGTTAAATTGGTGCTTGTGATCGTCACACTATTCCAACTGTACAGGTGGGTAACACAGGTCTATATACATACCTGCCACATTTTGTTTAAATCCATACAGTTGCTAACAAGAACATAAGAAAATTTGAAAAGGTTATATATAACACAACGTTTGAATCATATATCTTTAACATCGCTTTAACTTTTTTATGGAATGATGTGACAAAAAATTTCTGTTGAGTCAACCTCCTTAATCTTTACTATAGTACAACGAGAACTGACTTCAGAAGGTCACAAACTAAACATAGTACATGCTACATGAACACCGATATATATATATATGTAGCATAAAATTTCTTAAATATTTCATGTCTGTGATATTAATAGCCCTTTAATACATTTGGAAACTGAAACTAATATCCTTGCATAAGTAAACAGTTTAGTACACATTATGGTATGTGTTTATGCACCAGGAATACCTTTTAATTACTGCACAGGAAGAGACAGCAATCAGCTTGATATTTCCTGAAAAAAAAATCCCTACAATATCCCCAGAACCAGTCATCGAATTACCGGAATTCGGTTTACACAAATGTCAATGCATTGAGACACCATAATAAATAGCCTACTGACTAAGCCAACTATTCAGCCCAGATTCTAAGATAACAGATTTCCAAGAATATCAAAATCTACAATAGTGTATACAAGATATAATCATATCATGTAATTTTTTTCTGGAACTACAGTAATTTTTGAATATATGAATATATGAAACTTCAATGAGAAAATTCCAAATCATACTCCATAGTTTATTGGGTTTTTTTTTTTTTGGGGAGGGGGGGGGGCTTGTTCGAATTTTGCTATCCTTAAAATTATCAAATCAAATAATTTCTTTATTGGTTGATTAAAAACAAAACTTCAAATATTCTTCATCAAAACTTACCTTAAACTTAGATAATTTCATACAATGTTATTTCTATTAAAAAAACCATACCAGAAAATGCAAAGTATCTGAAGAGCTTTCTGCTTATGTACCTGGGACTAAATATATGTACCTGTATGATAAAATATATTTATGGGCACTTTTTTTCCAAAGATGTACACTAAAAGAGATAAATGAAGTGTTACACCTGTCAATAACTGTCTTAGTACCCAACATCAAACCCTCAATCTTACATCACTCAAAACAAAAACAGAAACTGCACAATTGACAACCCCTGGACAGATATGAAAGTGTCATCAACTCTTTTGTCTTCCTCAACTTACTGACACCATCAGTCAGGGAAACTGACATGAGATGACCCCAGGTCACTATGGTTCTAGGCCAAGATCAGCGGTCATTATGAGAAGTAAAGCATACAGTTGCAGGTCACCTGAGGCTAATAATGGACCACAGAGAAATGTAAACAAAAACTAACCCATGATTATTTACTAAAAAAAATTGATGAAAAATAAGTTTCTCCTGGTTTCTCTATCCTAACTTTTTATTTACAACATTTTTTTCTTCATATCTAATAAGTTTTGATCTTCCTATATCAAACATGCAATGTTAAACACTGAAATATTTGACTTTTAAACAATGTTTTGCTAAATAAAGTTTTTTCCCTTAACATCTTTTGGGTCAAAATTGGGGCAAAACAAATTAATATAACCTTCCTTCTTCAAGTTGTTTTCTGAAAACCTGTCTTCATTATCCTTTAAATTAATTTTTTTATATTATGAGTTCATAAATATCTATCTTTATTCAGTATTGTGATATTTTAATTTGTCAATAGAGTAAGCACACCAATCATTTGTATAGTGTAAACCCTCAAACCTTTAAAATCTCAATCAATAAGATATATGAGAAAACCCTTATCAACAGTACAGTGTATATAATTTGTGATATCATTTCATAAAAACAATTTCAAAATTATCAATTTTACAATGTAATATACTACAACAAATGCAAAGCCAGCAATTTAAACCCAGATCAAAACTTATTCATGAACATGGAATAAAAAATTTAAAGGAGAACCACTTGGTCAAACTATGGATCTTTAAACCCTATATAAATAGAACAGGTATGTACATGTATATGATTCCCCACTATATGAGATATTTATAAACCTCGTACACATGATCTACGGATAGAAAGTAACGCTTCACTGCACGAATGATTGTGAAACTGCAGGACGTTACCAAAGCAGAAAAACAAACAGAACTAGCTCAATCTGAAAAGAACGGCACGAAATCTATTCAGAAGATTAGTGAAACATTTATTTCGGGGGGTAAATGGAATTTCTGAGTGATGTCAGTTTAAACACGATCTGTATAATTGCACAGGGAGCTCATTTTTGGACACAGAACTGGGATAAAGTAATATGATGTATATAGAAGCCCATAGTCCACCCATTTCACAGCAGTACAATAATAATAGCCGAAAACTTTTGTCATTGTGTATAATTAGAGATTCTGAACAATAGCTGTACTAGATTTCATCAAAAACAAAGGTCATTATATGTTTTCAAATTAACTGATGGCCCTGACATCTATTTTCAAAACAAATATCATCACACTATACAGTACAATACTTGGTAACAATAACTTACTTCATATGTAAACCTAACCTGTAAAATTACAAGTACATTTACAATCCTGACAGTTTAACTATTAAATAAGTTAATTCTGAGTCCCCCCATGAAGAAAAAAATTTAAAATACTGAAATGGACACTTCATCTTTGTTAAACATCTATTGTTTATTTCAATACTGGTGTTTGTTTATGTACAATACGTAGCAATTATAGTCAATAGTCGAGAAGACCATGGTTCAGTATTATAATAGAACGTTGGCTGTGTAGTGTCAATATCGTGATACTAGGTCGTGGTTCATCATTTATGTATTACACAATTGAATGTAGATAATTATGCATCTGTCTTTAACATATTCTATAGCCAGAAAGATACATCAATATAAATCAGGACTATGTTTCCTATAAAATATATAGCGAAACCAAGACACTCAAGTAGTGCTGTGCAGATACCAAGAAGTGTCTGTGATATGACACTTTAATTCATGTCAGGAAATTCAAATGGAATAATAATAGATATTGCTGCTACCTGGTTGGACAGAACCTGATGACTAAAAAACCCAAAATTACAACAGAAAGATTTCTATCTTGCCAAATTACTATTAATGAAATAAAGATATTTATCTTTTTGATCAGCTAAGCATGTCTCAAAAGTAATATTTTCCATGTAATACAATGTTGTACAGTCAAAGTTTATTAAATTCTATTTTCAAAATTGATAAGTTGTTATTTATCTATATTAAGTGTCTTTAATGAAGCAGACATCATGCCACAATCATTTAAATAACTTAATGGAGTGAGAAACCAAATTATAAAAAAATAAACAAAAAAACATATATACAGAACTAAACCATGGGAATGTTTTGGTTTAAAATGGAGTAGCTTAGATTTTAGTTGCTGCAGCTGGCTTGGCGACTGCTATCTTTCATGGGATGTTATCAAATTACACAGGCAGCCAGACCAGAGGCAAACCACCAGACTGATTTAGTTTATTTATGTCAAGTCAGGGCTTTTTTTTTGCTAAAATCAGCTGACGAAACAAACTGTTTTGAATCAACGTACAAAACTGACATTTCTGAAGACTAATAATCTTTTAAATGTTAAATGAATTTTAGTTCAATTTAATTTCTAATAGTACTAGAGTTCCATGTACTGACATGTGACAATATAAATTAAAAATGATTGATATATACAGAATTCTACAAGCTAACTATCACGAACTCGGAATAATTTGAAAACTGTTTTTACAACGGCTGACATTGTGACATAGGTATATATCAGCCCACATGTGTGTATATTAAATACACTAAGCATGGACTGTTGGAATAATTCACGCATGGGTTCATTCACGTGAGCGTATATGTCCAACAGATAGGTAAGCATGCTGTGTGCGTCCACTTCGCCAATGCCGGTATTGAGATTCAAATTTCTTATTAAACACAAACTCCGGGTATGACCACACCCAACTAACAACCCCTAAACAAGAATCGTTTGAGGGTACCCATCCGTATCTCAGCCGGAGTGGGCGTGGTGGTATCGTTACATGAAAACATATGGCCGTTAAGACTGAATAAAATACAGGATTTCAAAATAACTTTTAGAAACTAACAACACAATAAGACAACAAAATAAACAAACGTTGAATTAAAGCTGTTAATTCCATTATGTGTTTAAAATAAAATTCTTAAATGATACTTTAAAATTTTTACTCCATATGGGAAACACCCACCGGTATTACTACTACTTACTGTTGATGAGGGGGATTGAAAAGCGTCATGATCCAAAATTTCGCCCATATCTGGGTCTTCCAAGTCGCAAATGTTATGGTCACTTTCATATAGCAGGTCCATGGTCGTTTGTCCCGATAGGGTTCGTTAAAACCCCGAGGGATGGGTCAGAAATCCCGTGGGTCAGTCAGTTAAAAATTGCTCCTTTTCCTCCACCTTGTGTCAGGATAAGTGGTGAAATCGCACAAGGGCGGAGTACATACACTTGATATGTGAATACGCAAACGAAGGAACTATTTTAACGATAACAACCTTTTGTAGCTTTTTATATAATCCACCAAGTTTTAAATCCACCTGTGTAGTATTTCATAACAAAAATCACTTTATAAATATCCTGTTTTCTACTGCTGCATTATATCTGGAATAAATATTTCGTCATCCGTTCTGCACAAGGGTTCACTTGCGAATGAATACTCCATTGTAGAGTGATAGAACTAACTTTCGTCATAGTCTTAAATCAACCAATCAGAAGCCTTGTTCTAAAAATAATGTCATCCCCATCTGAAACCACCTGTTACCTCGGGTTTCACTTTTATCTCTTCCCCTGGCAATCTTTTTTGACACGGAAAGGTGATATTGCCCCGAGAAATTAACCATCAAATTATGTTTGGTTATCGAAACGATCAAGAGTTGAGTCTTTATCGTATCTGCCATATAACATTCTTTATTAATATTTATAAAAAAAATAGTATATAATGGTTTGTGTTAAATAGTTTCACAACAGTGATAACTGTATTTTTTTTCTTTACTCGTGATTTTCTCTTAATTTCCCAGCTTATAAGTGCACATTAATTGAATACTGGAGTCGATCAAATGACTCTATACTTATCCGTGAACATTTACTTTTAAAAAGGTGTCGTTTTCGGGTAAAATACATGTGTTATTTTGCTCGGTTGTTTCGATAAAGCAATTCAAAGATTAAAAATCTGATATGTACGAACATAATATAATTATTTTCAACTTCGGACTTTTTGAAATATACAAAGTTTATTTGTTCATTTTTTTTCATCCTCGGAAATCCTTATCCAAGAATATGTATAATGTAATTGAAATAATCTATTTCAGCTTGTTATTACCAGGGACGTATAATACAGTATTATACGTCCCTGTTATTCGTTTTGTTATTTCCGTTGAAAAACTTTACTACGAGTGAACGATTCTGATTAATGTATTGTTTAAATTCACAAAATAACAACATTAAATTCCATAAATGTTTCCAACAGGCAATTGGAAACTTATAAAGAAATATGGCACGAAGCAGACTATGAAAGATATCATTCCAGAAATGCCAGTCAGAAACGACCTCCGGGAGCAGGCCCAAGGATCCAAATGATACCTGTATCATCAGAGACACGTCCCCGGGAGCAGGATTAAGGATCCAACTTATACAGCCTGTATCATCAGAGACACGACCCCCGGGAGCAGGATCAAGGATCCAACTGATACCTGTATCATCAGAAACACGTCCCCCGGGAGCAGGCTCAAGGATCAAACTGATACTTGTATCATTAGAGACACGTCCCCCGGGAGCAGGATCAAGGATCCAACTGATACCTGTATCATCAGAGACACGTCCCCGGGAGCAGGATCAAGGATCCAACTGATACCTGTATCATCAGAAACACGTCCCTCTGGAGCAGGATTATGGATCCAACTTATACAGCCTGTATCTTCAAAGACACAACCCCCGGGAGCAGTCTCAAGGATCCAAATGTTACCTGTATCATCAGAGACACGTTACCAGGAAACAGGACCAAGGATCCAACTGATACTTGTATCATTAGACACGTCCCCCGGGAGCAGGATCAAGGATCCAACTGATACCTGTATTATCAGAGACACGTCCCCCGGGAGCAGGATTAAGGATCCAACTTATACAGCCTGTATCATCAGAGACACGGCCCCGGGAGCAGGCTACAGGATCCAACTGATACCTGTATAATCAGAGACACGGCCCACGGGAGCAGGACCAAGGATCCAACTGATACCTGTATCATCAGAAACACGTCCCCCGGGAGCAGGATCAAGGATCCAACTGATACCTGTATCATCAGAGACACGTCCCCGGGAGCAGGATCAAGGATCCAACTGATACCTTTATCATCAGAGACACGTCCCCGGGAGCAGGCTCCAGGATCCAACTGATACCTGTATAATCAGAGACACGGCCCCCGGGAGCAGGATCAAGGATCCAACTGTTACCTGTATAATCAGAAACACGTCCCCCGGAAGCAGGATCAAGGATCCAACTGATACCTGTATCATCAGAGACACGTCCCCGGGAGCAGGATCAAGGATCCAACTGATACCTGTATCATCAGTGACACGTTCCCCGGGAGCAGGATTAAGGATCCAACTTATACAGCCTGTATCATCAAAGACACGACCCCGGGAGCAGGCTCAAGGATCCAACTGTTATCTGTATCATCAGAGACACGACACCCGGGAGCAGGCTGAAGGATCCAACTGTTACCTTTATCATCAGACATACGACCCCCGTGAGCAGGATCAAGGATCCAACTGATACCTGTATCATCAGAGACACAACCCCCGGGGGCAGGCTAAATGATCCAACTGATACCTTTATCATCAGAGACACAACCCCGGGAGCAGGATCAAGGATCCAAATGATACCTGTATCATCAGAGACACGTCCCCCGGGAGCAGGATTAAGGATCCAACTTATACAGCCTGTATCATCAGAGACACGTCCCCCGGGGGCAGGATCAAGGATTCAAGTGATACCTGTATCATTAGAGACACGACCCCCGGGAGCAGGATCAAGGATCCAACTGTTATCTGTATCATCAAAAACACGACCCCCGGAAGCAGGCTCAATGATACAACTGCAGTGTCACGCGTCCCCGGTACAGTACTGATATACGTTCCTGGTACAGAATTGACACATGTCCGAGGTAAAGACGTGACACATGGCCGAGGTAAAGCAATGACATACGTTCCTGGTAAAGTAAGGACATATGTCCCCGGTACAGTAGTGACATATGTCCCAGATACAGAAGGGACATACGTTCCTGGTTCTGTAGTGACACATGTCCCCGGTACAGTAGTGACACATGTCCCAGATACAGTGGGGACATACGTTCCTGGCACCGTGGGATACAGATCCACATTACCGTAGGGGTACGTGTCCCTGGTATGATAGGGACACATTTCCCTGGCAGAGGAGCGATATTGTCCCTGGCACAGTCGATGTCCCTAGTGCAGTAGATACGAACGTTGCTGGTAGAGTAGAGACATATGTCCCTGATCGTTTTAAGGTACTCCACATGTACAGTAGGAGTGTACGTCCTTATTAATACAGTAGGGGCACACTTCCCGGGATAATATGGACACATGTCCCTGGTAGAGTAGGGGCGTGCGTCCCCGGTACAGTAGGGACACACATCCACGGCACGATAGGGTCACATGTCCCTGGTACAGTAGGGACACACATCCACGGCACGATAGGGTCACATGTCCATTGTATAGTAGGGGCGTACGTCCCAGGCATAGTAGGGATCCTTTATTTCTATTCATTTCTATAGTTCATCTATTTTTCCCCTTTAGTATAATGACTTAATATTTGTGAATGTTCTTTTCTGTCGTTGTTCCAGAATCTCTAATGAATTTTTAATTGTCAATAAACAGTAAAACAATACAAAACATTTTAAGAAAGGTTGAAACAAACCCCCAGGTCCTGGTGGTTCCTTTGATATAATAACGCACAGTAACATTTACAAAGATCCAATCTTCAGTAAACAAACCCAAACTTAGTTAGTGTCAGTCTCTCTTATACCCTCGGTTTCCACTAATTGTTTTATTTGCTATTAACTAATTTGTTGTCTGAACATTCTTTTGATAAATACAATTTTAAATGTCACTGGAAGCTCATTGATTGATCGTGAGCAGGGCAACGAAAGAAAAAAATCTTGATATCAAATGGCATTATGTTGTCTAATTATAGCTCGAGAAGGCACGACTTTGTAACTTGGTTAAAGCTATTCGACGCTCAGCGAGGATATATTTTTCATAATTTAGTTTCATTTATCATTTATTTTGGTCTGCTACTGTTTTGAAATAACAAACCATATACCAGATTCGGAACGCATACAGACTTGTTTCAAATTATTAAAAAAAAAAAATTAAGTGTGCGATAAGAATGCTTTATGGTTCATGGTTTGGTAAAAATCTATATGTGTTTCATTTAAGTCTTTGATAAGTTCAATTTTTTAACATGGCTGGTGCGAGGAAGTGCGGAATTCCCAGACATCTATAAAAACACATCTTTTGTTGGTGTAGGATGAAAATGTTTTTTTTCTGTTTTTGTTTTGTTTTGTTTTTTTCACTCTGTCAGGTCGACATCGTTGAAATCGCTTGAAATAACGTTTGCCTTGAACATCGTGAGACGTTTCACATCAATTAACGGCTGAAATGAAATTTCGAGTCGGGTCCAAAATTTAGAATGGTTCCTAAGTGCCATATCTTTGGCAAATAATGTGGTTTCCGCGCTATATCAAAATGATATTTGAATCCAGTCAACATTTAATTTTTTAAAAAGTTTGTCTAATGTGTCTGTACTATCGCTATTTAGTAGGCTCGTAAGGAGAAAAAAGTACTACTAAATTATCATAGGACCGGGGTTTTCGGACTGATGGCATATTTATCTCTGTCGCTAGATAAAAATGACTCCAGGGACCTTACATATTGCGACTGAGAAAACTTATCAATTGTCAGTAAGTACTGGGTAAGTTAGTAGGCTTCGTCGCGATGTATATGTTGATAGTACCTTAGAAATACATCACCAAAAATACCTGAACAAACAAATTTTCTGAACAAATATATAAAAATGTGTTTACAGAAATTTAAAGTCTATTTCTGTGGAAAGTTTTGCCATAGAAACAGCTCCCGAGGGACACTAAGAGATAATGTCTTTATCATTTTCTAATTAGTAAAACAGCATCGGTCCCATTAATGGCCCTAATTTCATCGACCCCATTGTTTCATGATACTTGTCAGCCATGTGAAGAATAACCATTAATGTTGACCTCTTGTAACATACTTTGTATAGGTGAGTGAGAAATAAACTCTGAAACTTCCCATGGTTACTCCAGGTTTCTCCCACATATATACTTCCGCCAGGAAAACTTGTCTAATAGAACACTAAACACGACCATAACATACATAATAAAGCTGATTTACATAAAAATAAGATATCCGCCGTATTATTAATTATGCAAATTCATGACCCTTTACACAAAATGTATGC